AGCCCCCATGCACTTGAATGCGCTGATCCCATCTTCTTGATGCTTAATACTCTGGGTCACTGGGAGCAGGGCTGGTGATTTGGGGATCCAGGTGCAAATTGCATTTATTGATGTATCTGTAACCCTCAGTCATTTAATTTTGGGTCCGCATTTCCTCAATAAACTCAGCTGTGAGCCCAAGCTAGTTGCATGTAAACTGACCACTGTGATGCCAGAAAGGAATCTTTAAAAAAAAGAAGTCCTTTGAACACTGCTAGATCCTTCTGTCAGCTGCCACCCCCAATTACTTTGAAGAACAATCCTAGTGTCAGCACACAGAATTTAAGCAAGGACCAATCCAGAGAGGGGAATTTGTCTGCCCCCCCCCGTCCCCCCCCCACAACCTTCTGGGCTGGGTCACAACTCTCAGCAATAGGGAAAGCTTCCTATCTTCTGCACGGCTCTAGTACAGTTACCACACTGAGTTTGCAGGACATTTACAAACAATAACATTATTGTCCACCAGCAATCATAGGGTGCATGATTGTTTCTCTTTTGATTTGTTGCTGTTCAACTGCGGTGAAGAAGCCAGAGACGTGGTTCACAAGCCTGTGCAGATAGGGGCCCCCATTCAAGACTTTCGAATGACCAAGGAGAAATGCAGGTGTCTTTTTTTTTTTTTTACACTGGCTTAGGAACAGCTGCCACATAGAAAGGCAATGCACTATGTTATCACTGGAAGCTCTCTAGAAGAGACTGGGCTGTCATTTGTCAGAAATGGTGTAGGGTCTCCTGCTTGGAGGGTGGGAGTTGGACTAAAAGACCTACAAGGCCCCTTCCAACTCTGTTGATCTGTTATGCTTTAACGGTATGCCTGCTTTGTAAGTTTGAGAAACCCTGTGAATGAGGTTACACCAGGTAGGGCAGTTTTATTTCCCAGGTGTTCAAGTCTATTTCAAGCGACTTCAAATAGGCCTTTAGTGTATTTTTATAATGTTTCTTCTGCCCTCCATGCAAGCTGGAAAGTTCTCCAAAAGGAGCTGTTTGAGTATGTGCTCGTCCAGCATATGGATGGCATGATCTTCCCATCTCTTATTAGCAGTGTTTGGACTGATGGTAGACATGCCCTAGATAAAAACATCAGTGTCAGGTACTTCATTATGCCATCTGATGCCTAATATCCTGTGAAGAGAAGTCATTTTTGCATGTGTTTGATATAGAGTCAATGTTTCACAGGCATCCAGAAGGATAGTAAGTACTATAAGTCTGTAAACCTTCAGTTTTGTTACAGAGCTGATTATTATACAGTGGACTGCAGTCTACCTATCTTTGCTATTCTGAAATTAAATTCTGTATCAATCATCACTGTTCAGGAAAAGGTACTACCAAGATAATTAAATTGGTTAACTGCCTGTACTTTCTGCCCTTTGATTGTGATTTTGCACTCTGGGTATAGTCCATGAGGAGCAGGCTGGTGCATAGCTTGGTCTTTTGGATTTTGATGGTAAACCCAAAGTTATAACAAGCTATGAAGAATTTATCCATACTGACTTGAATTTCTGGCCCTGAGCCAGCATTCAAGGAGCGGTCCTCAGCAAAGAGCAGAGTAGTTTCCTTCACTTTGGTAATAGCTTGAAGTCTCCTCAGATGGAAAAGATTGCCATCCACTTCTCGCCCACCTATTAATACTCTAAACTGCTCTTTGAAGGGCATCAGAACCATTTTAGCTTTTGTTGGAGTGTTTTCTTCTCTTCTTTGAAATTCATTTCATAAATTAACACCCAGACATTTATATATTGGGTGAATATAACGTTCTCTCACCAAATGTTTTAGTTTAGACCATAACTCTCTACAACTTCAGACAGCATGGTGAATGGTCAGGTATTGAGCGCTGTAATCCAAAACACCTTGAGGTCATCAGATATTCTCCCACACTGTTTTAGGCCACCCGTCAATCCCCTCACCTCGGCATGGCAACTATGCCCAAACCAAGTTACAAAACATATTTTGAACAATGAAATACCAGCAAGGCTTTGTGTTCTTCTCTGGTAAGCTTCCCTGACTGATTGGCATTTAGATGGGTCAGCTGACTCCACTGATCCGAGTAGGATCTCTTTCTAATCCATAGGAATACTCTTGAAAGGTATAACTCTTACTGTTATTGGTTCTCGGGAACGGAGCGATATTTTCCATATCTCCTCTTAAGAAACTACCAGGGAGTCCGCTGGGACTTACTTACATTTGCATTTACAGTTGACACGTGCATGGTCTCGAAGCAATCAAGACTGCTTGCCTAAGCATTGGAATCTTACACGATCCAGCCAAACGATGCTAGATTTAATGGGGCTGATTTCCGTGTAAACATACTGAATAAAAGCCTCGGATTCTCGCCGAGAGCTTGCCAAAAATGAAGCTCGCGTATTTAACCGGGAGGTCCATTTTGCTGTTTCGAGGAGCTTGTTTTTAAGGAACTTCGAGTTACAGCTACTTCTGGTTCAACGCTTTTGGTTTTTATTCCGCCTCCTGGATTACAGGGCAGCTCCCTCTTATTGAAATCCCGGCGGTTTCAAATTCTCAGGATTCCAGCCAGACAACCATTATGGGGAAGGGAATTCTATTGTTTCGCGTGGGGTTGGGATTCGACTCGCTTGACAGAATGGGTTTGACACCGCAAAACAACAAGCGAGCCAGGAAACAAGACTTAGTATGGGATTTCAGTTCATATGCATGTAGATTTTCTCCCGCCTTTGCTCCCAGCCCACTGCTGCACTGAAAAGCACGCGTGTCCCCACCTCACTTCATCCGATCTGGACCGGGGTCGACCGACCTTCCCTCCTCTGTATCCTGGAGAGCGTCCAAACGTTAACTTGGCCGAAGAAGGGGCGGGCTTCACAGCCCAAAAAATGTGCGCAGATTGCAATTGTAATATCATAGACGAGCTATTCTTTCGGTAGTGCGAGTGAATGGGCGGTGGAAAGGGAAGGAAAGCAAACCCATCCCTCTCCCCGTTCCTAGCGCCCCGTGCACCTCCTTCAAAAAAATCTGCCATAGCTGCGGATCGCAGGTCTACCAGACGAAAATCCCGATTTGAAGAAGCAAAACCGGCAACTTTTCCATGAATGGGCTGGACTCTCTCTGAGTCTCACCAAGGGAAGGAAACCATGGCAGCAGAATGGGGTGAGGGGTTGGGTTTCCAGTTCTAGGTACAGACGGCAACTGGTTTGGTAACCGAAATACTGGAGGAAAGGGGCACTTGTGGAAATAACGGGCAGTGCAGCAGCACGGCTCTACTCACTCCCACCCCACCCCACCCAAATCAGCGGAGGAACTCTCAAGAAAGCTGGAGCTGCTCTTCTGCCCCGCAGCACTAGTGTCTCTGGAGGCGGCTTCTCTTTGACCGTTTCTTTTCTAGGGCTTATAGCCGCAATCAGCCATCGCTGTGGCGAGATATAGCTTATCCCAACTGCTGATGGACCTGTGGCACAAGGATGGTTAGGCGACGCTATAAAACACTGGTGTCGGACGAGAAGGACTTTGGAAGCGCAAAAAAAACTTCAGGGCTCCTAGCACCACTAGTCAAAGGGCTGGAAGACAGGCAGAACAGCAATTCCAGCTTTCAGTCCCTAACATTACACATCTTTTTTTTTTTTTTAAGGAAAGGGAAGAAGGACAGAGACACAAACTTGCAAGGGATTTTGCCCTGCCGTGAGCCCACCAGATTGAATTTAGGAGACCTTCCTTCTTCAATAGATGTTATGCAGACTACATAAGACCATCTCTCCGTTCCTTTGGTTTCTTTACCAGACAAGAGGGAAAGTGCAGGACCTGTGCATTTTTATAATTGTTCTAGGAGCCACTTGTTTGAAAGTGGAATCATGACCTTTACTAAACAGTTGTTGATAGGTTGCTGGGGTGCTGTTAGAAAGATGCTTCAAAATCTTGGTCCCTTGAAATATACACTGCATATTGATCAGTATCCAGCTAAAGACACTTTAATTACAGGCCCAGTCCTTTAGTACAGGAGAATTGATTCTAACCCTACTATGAAAGTCAAAGGAAGATTTGTTTTTTGTTTTTTAAATGACTGGATGTTGTCACTTGTAATTATTGAAGGGTACAGTCATATTCAGACTTACCTGAGTAAGTCTGAGTAAATTAAATGAGTACCCTTCATTTAATTTAAGGAGACAACCTCTTTCTCAGATGTAAGAACACAAAAGTTCAATGAAGCTTGCTGTAAAACAAAACAGACTGTAACTTCAGAGCATTTATGAAGAGGCTAATATTCAGAAATTAGCATAAATGTTTTCCATGAGAACATACTGTAACTGTAAGAAGTGGTAAATTCAATGGACTTACAATTCTGTCATTAGTAAGGTATTACTAAGTAAGAACAAATGATGCCAAAACATTTAAAGGAACAATGAAAAAGTAAGTTTTCAACCTCATTGAATTCATTTTTCCCTTCTGTAGACATGGATAGGATTGCATCATTAATAGCACCTGCTGGGTTTCAGTCTAATTGCAGCATGTTCATAGGATTCCCACCTTATGACATACAAGCAAATTAAAACATTCAAGGATGTAAATCATAATGAATCCAATTAAATATTATTTCCTGCAAAGTGAATAGTCAGGAAATAGAAGAAGTCAGTTAAACTCAGTGGGGCCTCTCTTGAAAAGATATGCATCTTTTCATAATTGAATATTCCTAGTTGTAGTTGAATATTCTTAGTTGTAGTTCATGTAAGAACCGTGCAATGCTAAACTACATAGAAACATAATGGGCCTGGAGGCTTAAATATGTGTTCCTATATGCCATTACCATAGTAAAGAGGCTTTCATTTGCGTTTCTTTTCTTTTTAAACTTGTCTTAATACAATTTGTACACTGAATTGAAATTATTCCACAGTCTTTTTTAGCCCCAGTTTAAAAGTTTGTATTATTCATTTAACCAAAAGAAACGAGGAAGAGGAGATTGATGCAAAACTATCTTAAAGAAATGTTGAAGGACAGGGGGGAAATATCCAACATCATTTTAATATTGGTTTGTGGGAATTTGACTGGTCGTTACCAGAATACACATTTATAAGCCATAAATAAAACGTACAGAAACGATAAATTAATTTGATTCAAACCTGTGTGTGCCAATTACAATCTAAAGTCTCTCTTCTTTTCTTTTCCCCCCTTTTTTCGATTTCATAATGCTACAGTATCTTTGATCCTCAGTTTTCAAATCTAACATCAGTTCACACACGCACACACATACTTCTGTGTCACTTCCACATCCAAAAATAGATATATTTGTAACTTCCTAACCCAAAATAACAAACATACCTAGGGTCACTTTTTAACGCCTTAAAAAAATCTTTATGATTCAAAGGAAAGTTAAACGGCTGTCTGAAGGAAACTGAGCATGGTCACGAGCCGGATCCGCAGCAGGGGCAGTTTCCACTCCTGACGGTCCTTGGAGTCAATGAGCCCCTCCACGCTCCCCTCCCCTCCCTCCTTCGGCGGGCGCTTAAAATCATACAACAGCGGAAAAAGTACCTAAATATTTGGTGCCCCATTCCAATTGGTAGAGGGCATGAGTGCCAGGTTCCCAGTTCTGCGCTCGCCCCCCGTCCCCCAAAGACAGATGGGAAAGAACCTTGAGCGCTCATCCAAAAATCGGGGGTTGAAATTGTCCAACGTTATTTAGAGGAGCTTTGGACCTTCCCTGGACGGGGTCTCTTTCTGTGGGTATTGGGTCAAGGGGGCAGGGTAGCTTTGGGCACAAGGTTCAGACTTTCCAAACTCTACGGAACTTTTCTCCCGCCCCACAAAGTCTCGGTTTTGGCGGTCGGAAAGGAGAGGGCTGGGTTTTTTCTTTAGGACGAGTTCATAATGGGCCTAGAGTACATCCCTTGATAATAGGAGGCATCTCCGGCCAAGGGCGAAGCCTCGAGGCCGCTTTTGTTCGTGACGGAGCCCATGGCCAAGCTGCCGGGCACCGGCGAGCCATAACCGGCGTAGTGCATCACTTGCTCGTAGGCCTTCAGGTCCATTTTGGGGTGGGGAGGATGAGGGTGGTGGGAGTGTTGATGGTGGGGGGGGGGATGGTGGGCGTGCTGCTGTTGATGCTGCTGCTGCTGCTGCTCGCTGGAGGACATCAGGTTAGTGATGGAGAAGGGGTGGTTGAAGGCGTAGTGATGCTCGGCCTTGAGGTGGGCCTCGTGGGAGAGCCCCGGGTGGGCGTGATGCTGAGCCAGCAGGTGCTGCTGCTGGGCCGGCGACGGGGCGGGCTCCGGCTGGCCCTTGAGCTCGGCCAAAGAGCGCTTGTGCTCTCGGCAAGGCGAGGCATTGGAGCGCGGCGATTCCGAGGCTCCGTTGGGCCCCTCGCGCTCCGCCTGCGGGAGCGCCTTTTTGCCGGGGCCCGAGGTCGGCGAGCCCCCCTGTTGTTGCTGCTGCTGCTGCTTGGCGCCGGGCGGTTTCTCGCACTTGAAGCGCTTCTGGCGGCGCAGGTAGCAGCCGTTCTCGAACATGTTGCCCGAATCGGGGTGCAGGGTCCAGAAGGAGCCCTTGCCCGGCTTGTCTGGCGAGCGCGGCACCTTGAGGAAGCAGTCGTTGAAGGAGAGCGAGTGGCGGATGGAGTTCTGCCAGCGCTGCTGGTTCTGTCGGTAGAAGGGAAAGAGGTCCATGATCCACTGGTAGATCTCGCTCAGCGTCAGCATCTTGTTGGGAGACTGCTGGATGGCCATGGTGATGAGAGAGATGTACGAGTAGGGAGGCTTGGCGTGCGTGTAGCTCCGGCGGTAGCTCTTGGCGTCGCGGGCGCGGCCCAGACCCGCCGCTGGCCCGTAGCCGCCGCCGCCGCCGCCGGCCCCCACCGGGCTCAGGGCAGAGTAGGCGCCCAACGCGGCCCCCATGGAGCCCGCCTGGGCGCCCAGCGGGCTCAAGCTGGGGCTCAGGTGGGCCGCCATGCCGGCCATAGCCCCTGCGCCGGGAGACAGGTTCATGCCCGCCGGGCCAGCCGCGTAAGACATGCCCATGGAGCCGCCGGACGCCACAGTCGAGAGGTTGCCGGCGCTGCCCATGGCGGGCATGGCCATGTAGCTGTTCATGCCCAAGCCGGCATTCATGGAGGAGTAGCCCTGCAAAGGCGACAAAAGGAGGGAGCCTGGTGGTTAGCCACTCTTGTGTCTAAGATCCCACACCTCCCCGATCCCATCCCCGAGAGCCCCATCTTGCCTGGCGACCCACGCTGGCCTCCTCGTTGCACCGCGCACCCTTCCTGGACTTTCCCGAAAACCCTCTGAAATACTGGAAGCATTTCTGGAACGGTGGTAGCGCTGCCTTGGCGAGGACCCCAGCGCTCCTGAGGCATTTGGCATTTCGGTAGGAGAGAATTAAGCTGGTGCCGAAAGCTGAGATTGGAAACCGCCCCCAGTAAATTCAGTGTTCAAAACAGCCAGACTGCCCGGATCATGTCCAGGGCGAAGAAAGGCGCGCTACATTACTGGAAATTACACTGGATCTCTTTCAGAACAAGATTTGGCTGTTCACCCCACAGATCCGGAGATCACAGCCCAATTCCCAGATTTAACAGCTCCGCTGGGGTGCGTGTGTGCTTATATATCCTATTGTATGAGAAAGGATTTTGCTTAAGTAAATTGTCTAGTTTCTGGAAGATCAAAGGGAACTTAAATCTGTCACTCGCTAGGGAGGAAGAAGATAGTATGGAAACATCACATTCTGTGCACCATAACACCCCCCCCCCCTTATTTAGCCTTAAGTGTTGATCTAGAAACAAAGTCCGACGGTTCCAGCACCTTCTCTCTTCAGAACATGCAGCGCGATCCAATGAATGTTTACTACAGAGGTAAGTGTCATTGGATTCAGTTAGGATTTAGTCTCTACTACCGGTAAGTATGTGCACCACCTCAATTCGAGATACACCAATCCAATTGAACGAAGTCCAAGGCGTTCGCTTTCCAGTTAGAAGCGATTCCCTTGGATCGCAATGTAACTTACTTCCCAAGTAATCAGTGCGTGTTAGCATTGCTAGCCCACCGGCAACTAGATCCATTAAAAGTCTCGACCCCAATTAAGACTGTTCAAATCTAATTTAAAATTTAATCCATGTTCTTGGGAGTAATCCACATTGATTCTCCGCGGAATTTTAGTTCTCAACAAGCTGCGACTCAATCGCGGCGCTAGGGCGCCTCAACAGATCAAATGAAACCCTAAGGAAATCAGCGAAGAGCTGAGTCCAGACCGGCGCCCTTAAGAAGGGAGGAGGTATTTCAGAGCTTCAGGAGGAAACCTGAAAAGTGCATTGGATCAAGAAAAAAATGTATTGAAGTTCAAAGGACCATGCAGTTTCCTGGGCCATGTGGAGCAGGTACATCCAAACACTGAGAAATTATGGGTTGAAGGTAAATCTTTCCTTCCTTTACCGGCGACTATCAAATATTTTTGCTCCCCTTTACATTTCCTTTCCCTCGACTCTGAACCTTCCCGGGGCAAGTTTTAGAACCATAAATGTCCCCCCTGTTCTCCTTGCTTTCTTATAGTTGCCCCCCCACGCCTCCCCCCACCCAACTTCTCTCTGCCAAACACAACTTTGTTAGGATAGCGCGGCTAGGCATGGCAAAAGGATTTGGAGGCTTCGCAAGTCAATATTTGATCACAAAGTTAATATTATCTCAAGGCTAACAGAGTGTTGTATAAAAGGAGAGAGGGAGAGAGAGAGAGAGGGAGAGAGTCCTGTTTTTAGCAGAAGGAGGAGGCTTGGGGATTGGGTGGGGGACCCGCACACAAACACACACACACAGAGAGAGAGAGAGGGAGAGAGAGAGAGAGAAAGAGAGAGAGACGCGCGCACGCCAACACAGAGAAGTTGCCTTTTACCTCTGGCTCGCCGTAGTAGTTGCTCCACTCCGTGTGCTCGTGTCCTTCCATTTTCACGACTCCCAGCATACTGGAAGCGGAGTGCATAGCAGTTTAAAATTTAACAGCCGCAATAAGCGACGGCGGAGAGGGAGAGGGAGAGGGCAGAGGGAGAGAGAGCGAGAGAGCGCGAGCGCAACCTAAAAAAAAAAAAAAAAAGTAGAAGAAGGAAAAGGAAAACACCCCCCTCTGTAACCCTCCCTCTCTCCCTCCTTCCCTCTTTCTCTTCCTCCTCCCCTCCCTCCCTCTTCTCTATGTGTGATGGAGAGGGGGAGGGGGGTCTCTCGGCTTGGGGTTTGTCCCTGCTTGCTATTGCTGCTGCGGCTGCTGCTACAACTACTGCTTGGGTGGGTTTCACAGTGAAGAGTCGCCCGGAGGCGAAGGCAAGGTGGAGGAGGAGGAGGAGGAGGGAGAGAGGGACGGAGGGAGGAGGAAACGAAGTGGTGCAGTGACGTGGATGCCCGAGTACTCAAGCAGGCAGCTGCGGGGCGCAGCTCCAACCCGCAGGTCCTGGGTAGGCGCTTTGAATAATCAGGTCCTGCTTATGGTTCTCTTTGCCAAGACATCTCCTTTGCGCATCTTTTGGCAAGACCCAAAAGGATGTGCCTTCCTTTTCTCTCCCCACCCCATCCTTCGTCCCTCTATTGTTTTCCCTGCTCCCGAAGGCTTGCTTTTGGTAGTCGACTGTCACGGACAGTCTCAATTCTTCGCCCCTAAACATGCCTTCACAAACTGTGGCAAGTCAGTTGCGAAAGAATGATTCTCTTGGGCTTTAAAAGCGATAGCCTCCTGGTTTGTTGGCTTGTTTCTTTGTTTGTTTTAATGACAGACACCTCTGAAATGAAATGATGCTAGTGCTATATAACTGAAAAAAGTGGTTTTTTTCTAATTATTGTTAGAATTAGAACTGCAGTCTGGTGGCATATAAATTTAATAACTTGTTGTTGTTACTATCATCGGACCTTCCTTCTCGAACAAGGTGAGACATTTTCTCTTTTCTCAAGTGAAGTCCATGTGTTCAGTTGCTGTTCTTCAGGAAAGAGAATTTAGTGGGGGAGTGAAGTGCATCTGCTTAAGACTACAGTAGACATTTTCAAAATGCATGGTAGCAGGTTGGACAACTATCAGTCACAGTCAGCAGGACTTGGCTGAGAAAGGTTCGGTTGTTATTAAATTGTTCCTAGAAAGAAAGTCTCCTTAAAGGTAATATCTCTCTTTAGAAGCTCAACACACAGAATTCAAAAATCCAGTTCAGCCAGAATTAAGGGACTAAGGACCAAATATGAATCACACTGATTATTAGCCATTTTCTAAATGATTTCCCTGAAAAGATTCCTAAAATCAGTTTTAAAAATTGGAGAGATGAATGGGGATAATAAGAACGGTTGAATAAACTGCAATCTAGAATAGATCTTTGAGCACCTAATGCTTCAGAACAGTTTTCCAAAATTTCTGGGTGTGCTTCCAGGCTTCCCAGCCATTAGTAATTATGACCATGGTATGTGTGTGTTGCGTGCGTGTATGTGTAATCTCAGCACACCCTGAGGACAACAATTTAGGAGACGCTGCTATAGCTGGTTCCAAAGATATTTGGATTGAAATTATGGACCTTGCGCTGGTGATCTTTGGCCCCATCTTAGAAGGAAAAACAAGGCCCTTCCAAGGTTCAGAGAACCTTGAGAGCAGAAATACATCTGAATTCCAGCTCTCTGCATGCATTTCCTTCTCTATTAATGTACTGTTTCTTCCAGTGTTTTGTCCACTAATGGGGAAAGTCCACACATGCAAATATGCAATTGATTGATGTGCCATCAAGTCATTTTTTACTCCGAGCAGCCACATGGTTAGATTTTTCTCCATGATGTTCCATCCCTAAGACCTGGTCTTTCAGGTCTTCCAACAGTGTACTCATTGCAAAATAAGGAATTACTGTACTTTTAATTATTATATTTATGTTTAAAATCTAGAAAGCTAAACTTGACAATTTGAAAAACCAAGCTGTTCTTTGAAAAGGTTTCATTGCGTTGAGGTGCCTGGGACAGCTGTACCCCTAGGAAAAAAATACTTCTCCTTTAAAAAAATAAGGACTGTGAGCAGGACTTCTTGTCATTGTGGGCTTTTTGCATTTAAGCAAAGACCTCTTGTCGCTCATTCTCATTCTAGCTATTCTCAAGCTCTCTCAAAATAAGGTGCTCCAAATCATCCAGACGCCAGTTCCCCATCAGCAATTTCTACCGGTCACCACCTGGCAGCCCTGAACCACTGTAAGTCTCCCCCATTGCTGTTATATTATTGGATGGTTGGATAACGCTAGGGCACTATAAATATCCAGTGAGGAACCAGCTACAGCAACTAACAATATTCCACAACTACTAAAGTAAACCTCTTTAGTATTGCAGCAGGCAAAACGCAGAAGGCTGGCAAGTTGGTTCTAGGAAGAAGCCCCTTCCTCAACATTGGCTCCAAAAATGAAGGTAACTATCCAGCTGAATGAAGAGGTATGCTTGCACTCATCTGCAAAATAATTGATGTCTACAGTAGCAGGGCGGCTGGTCTTCCATTTCAAGGACAAACTGCATCCACAGTCAAATTGCAACCCCATTTACATTTGGGGGGCTACCCTGCACAGAATAGCAGAAGACAATATCTCCATATATTCTGAAGTCTGAAAAAAGTCCTCTTTTTCCACATGAAAAGAGTTTCATGGGGAATTCTGCTGAGTCAACTCCTTGTACCAAACCACGGCACAAACATGATCAGGCCACCTCTTTTTTTCCTGATGAGACCCTCTGATGTTGCCCTCATCTCCTATTCAGCCCATGAGTAAGACAGCCTTAATCCTCATAAACCGAACCGCCAACACAAGTAGGGCTTTTTTTATTATTATTATTTCAGCACTATCCACCCACAGCCTCAAGACACATAAAACCTGTCAGGCAGTTACCATCTCTGACAAAATCAGGTGAGTAGCAAAAGACCATAGAGGAAGGAAAAGAATTAGCAATGGGAAAACAGATTTCTGCCAGCTCAAAGATTAGTGAAAGCACTTCAAGTCAGCCCTACACATAGGGTCCTACACTTCATAGTGAAAAAATGGCCAGTGGTATGTACTGACTGACACTGATCTCAGTTGTCCTTACAGCACCTCTTGAGGCTTGACAATAGAGTTGAGCAAGGGGAAAAAGTATTTTCTCATTAGGAAGACTCAACAAAGGACAACACAGAGCTGGCTTGTCATATTTTCCAATCGATTGGAAGATAAGACATACATTTCTTCCCCCAGCCCTGGGAAGTTTAAAGCCATCTGGTGTAGGAGACTTTTGAGTGTTGAGTTCACAACTTGAGGCCACTGGAGTCAAAGGCAATGAAGACCAGAGGAGGCCCAGAAGAAGAAATTCAAGCACTCTTGCATGCATTGAGCTCCAAAATGCCTTTTACAAGAATGAGAGGAGGAAGGGAAGGATGGACGGACAGATTTCAGAATGGCCCAGACTCTCCACCAAATTAATCAAATTCAAATGTTGCATTCGCTTAACACAAAATTCTCAGACCAGTAGAAGATATTATGATTTTAGGTATGAAAATTTGATTCTGCGATTTGCTAAGACACCCCTGACTGAACCACAAAGTAGCCAATCCCTTTCATCCAAGTCTCTTGTCTTTTGTGAATCTAGCCAATCTGGCCAACAGCAGGTCGACTGTCCCTCTACAGCAGGGGTCTCCAACCTTGGCAACTTTAAGATTGTGGACTTCAACTTCCAGAATTCCTCAGCCAGCAAAGCTGGGATTCTGGGAATTGAAGTCCACAAGTCTTAAAGTTGCCAAGGTTGGAAACCCCTGCTCTACAGGCCCTTCCAAACGCGGCAGGTGCCCTGGCACTGAGGTGCCCTGGCGGAGAAGCTGTCGGGGTGTCCCCAAACAACAATCGCGGGAGGCGCTCTCCGCTTGCCTCAGGCAAGGAGAACCGCCACTGGCTTGGTGTGGCCCAAAGCCAGAAGAGGTATCCGTGGGTAGAGGTGGTTTCTGCACCTGGATCTGCTGGGGGGGGGGGAGTCCTTCTTAGGAGACGGAGGTCATTTGTTTCTGCTACTATTCAGCCTCCACGGATGGCTATGCATTCAAGACCAGCCACCCAGTCGCCAAGTGTCTGCTTATAGCCCTGGAAAGGCCGAGGTCGCCACTGTCAGGCACATCTGAAAAAACTCAGAACCTTAGAAAAGCCCGCTTTTTCTAAAAGGATATGCCCAGGTAGCTCCCTAATGCACAAGAGTAGAGGGCAGCTGAGGGCAGGATTTTAGGACAAAGGCCCAGCCCTCCCACTAAGTCCCCAACCCAAAACAGAATGTCCTCCACACAGGCGACACTTTAGCCTGCTTCTGGGCTGTTAACATCACCTTAGTAGGCACCTTAGTCCAAAAGGTGCCTTCTCTCATATTCTGCATTGTTGCACACAACTGAGTACAGAAGAAACTTGCAGTCCTCCTAGCAAGTTAGATTTAATACTATAGCTTAATTTTTTCAATCTTGCTCCCCAATGTGGCGCATAGACCTCATTTCCCAGTATTCTCAACAAGGGGAATCTGAAGAGATGAAGTTCACACATATAGGATGCCCAGCCTTGGAGAAAGCTAGCCCACAGGTTATGTATCCCTCCCCTCATTTGTCTTAAATGTATTCTTGGCTACTTTCCTCAGAATTATGCAAAATTTTAACATAGTAGATGCCCTCTGCTGATTCCTCCAGATCGTGTACTGTTTATTGGTCGTCCAATCTGTTTCTTTTCATAGTTCAAGGTTTGGCTTTGACATGCAAAGTCCTAAACCAGGGTCCCCCAAAGTGGTGAATGTCAACCCCCAAGATTGATGGGTCCACCCAAAGGATCTATGTTATTATGGTTCATTGCACATTCAGCCAGATGTTAGACTGGCTTTCACATTTTTTTCCACCAAGGACCTGGGAAGGCAGATGTTGTTTGGTGGTGTTATTATTTGTAATATTATTTGTTAAAGTAATATTTATTAAATTATTTTCCTATCTGGAGGTTGATGAACAATCTGAAACTTTGTCAAGGGGTCAATGAGCAGATGAGTTTGAGGACCCCTGTCCTAAACCAATAGGGGCCAACCGTACTTGTATTCCCAAACCACCTGCT